AGCTGGACAAATACTTCATGGTATCACTCATATGTGGAATCTAAAAAAATCTGAACTCAGAGAAACAGTAGGAAAGTGGTTGCCAGGGGCTGTGGGGGTGAAGGAAATAGGGAGAGTCTGGTAATCGGGCACAAGCTTTCAGTAACGAGGTGAACAAGGTCTGAGGATCTGCTGTATACCATAGTGACCACAGTTGATAACACTGTGCTATGTAACTGAAATTTGCTAAGAGAGTAGAACTTAAGTATTCTCACTTTAAAAATAAAGGTAAATATGTGAGGTGACAGATGTATTAATTAGCTCAATGGGGGCAATTCATTGACAATGTATACAGATATCAAATCATCATTCTGTACACTTAAATACCTTACAATTTTGTCAGTTATACCTTAATAAAAGTGAAAATAGATAAAAGAAGTGAGCTTCAGGAGAGAGTAATTTAAAAACTGAGAATTTTTAAAACTTGGAAATGGGCCAGTAAGTGAATATCCCATCAATTTATGAAAACATATATATTTTTTAATTGGGGTATAGTTGCTTCACCACGTTGTGACGGTTTCTGCAAAGTGAACCAGCCATATGTACACACATATCCTCTCCTTTTGGGATTTCTTTCCCATTTAGCTCACCACAGAGCACCGAGCAGAGTTCCCTGTGCTATACAGCAGGTTCTCATTAGTTATCTATTTTATACATAGTAGTATATATATGTCAGTCCCAATCTCCCAATTCATCCCACCCCCCACTTCCCCCCTTGGTCTCCATATGTTTGTTTTCTATGTCTGTGTCTCTATTTCTGCTTTGCAAATAAGTTCATCTGTACCATTTTTTTAGATTCCACATATATGCATTAATATATGATGTTTATTTTTCTCTTTCTGACTTACTTCACTCTGTATGACAGTCTCTAGGTCCATCCACATATCTACAAATGACCCAATTTGGTTCCTTTCTATGGCTGAATAATATTCTATTCTATATATGTACCACATCTTCTTTATCCATTCATCTGTCGATGGACATGTAGGTCACTTCCATGTCCTGGCTATTGTAAATAGTGCTGCAGTGAACAGGGAACCCTCTTGCACTGTTAGTGGGAATGTAAATTGATACAGTCACTATGGAGAACAGTATGGAGGTTCCTTAAAAAACTAAACATAGAACTACCATACGACCCAGCCATCCCACTACTGGACATATACCCTGTGAAAATATGTATCTTAAGTTTACTTTTATCAAAGCATGTTCATGTCAGGCTCTAAACCAACATATGTGTGAGCACTGAATTAATTCACCCTTAATTCATGCTGATTAAACTCCCTACCTTTAGCTGCTTAAAACACACACACACACACACACACACACACACAGAGAAACAAAAAAGCAGAAAAAGAGAAGAAGAAAAGAACAAGGGCAACAAATAGAAAATGGTAATAAATACTGTAGATATCAATCCAACTATATCAATAATCACTTTGAATGCCAATGGTCTAAATACACCAATTAAAAGAGAGACTGTCACAGTGGATCAAACAACAAGAAACAATTATACGTGGTCTATAAGAACCCACTTTAAATATACAGTTATAGATTAAAAGTAAATGGATGGGGGACGTGGTCCAGTGGTTAGGACTCTGCACTTCCACTGCAGGGGGCACAGGTTCCATCCCTGGTTAGGGAACTAAAATCCCACATACTGTGCGGCGCAGCTCAAAAGAAACAAACAAAGAAGTAAATGGATGGAGAAAGATTTACCATGTAAACACTAATCAAAAGAAAGCAGAAGTAGCTATGTTAATTTCAGACAGAGCAGACTTCAAAGTAAGGAAAGTGATCAGGGATAGTGAGGGGCGTTACACAATGATAAAGGGACAGCTCTCCAAGAAGACATAGCAATCTTTAATGTGTACGCACCTAACAACAGAGCATCAAACTGCATGAGCAGAAAAGTGATAGAACTGCAAAGACCAACAGATCAATGCACTGTCATAGTTGGAGACTTTGACAACCCTTTCCCAGAAACGGACAGAGCCAGCAGGCAGAGAACCAGTAAGGACATAGTTGAACTGACCACCACCATCAATCATCAGGATATAATTGACATTTATAGACTACTTCATCCAACAACAGCAGGATACACATTCTTTTCAAGCTCACACGGAACATTCGCCAAGGGAGACCACATTCCGGGACAAGAACAAACCTTAACAAATTTAAAAGAATAGAAATCATACAGTGTCTTCTCTCAGACCACAGTGGAAGTAACCTAGAAATCAGTAACAGAAAGATAATTGTAAAATTCAAAATACTTGGAGGTTAAACACACTTCTAAATAACAAGGGGTCAAAAAAGAAATCATAACAGAAATTGTGCAAGTATTTTGAATTTTGTCAAATTTTTGTGCATTAATTGGTAGTCATGTGATTTTTCTTCTTTAGATTATTAATAGTCAATTACATTGAATGACTTTAATATACTGAACCAGCCTTGAATTCTGAAGATAATCTCTCCTCTGTTGCAGTGTGGTATTCATCTTATGTATTGCTCAATTCAATTTGCTATGATTTTCAAGGATTTTTACATCAATGTTCCTGAGTGCTAATGGTCTGTAGTTTTCATTTTTTGTACTAACTTTGGTTTTGGTATTAGTGTAATGCTGGTCTCATAAAATTAATCAAATATTTTATAGTTTCTCTATGTGCTTTGTTCTTAGAAAGATCTTCCCATTCCAACATCAGATGTATTTTTAGTGATTGTTTCATGTTTCTTTCCTTAAAAAAAAAGCTTAACTCTATAACCCATCTGGAATTTATTTCAGCATATGGTATGAGGAGGAATCTAATCATTTTCTCCAAAATAATCAATTGCTTCGGCCCCATCTTTGAATGATTATATAGCTGTACCTCACTGATTACAAACCTCTTATTATTATAAACTAAATACACGTATATTTGGGTTTTTTCCCCAACTTTCTACATGTCAGCAGCAGAGTAGGAAGATGGGAGGGAGACTGGGGACCTGAGGTCTGAGAACAGGCAGTGGACAAGAGGGGAGATACCAGGGAGGCAAAAAAGCACAGAAGAGGGGCAGCCACAGGGGACGGAGGGTTCTGTGTGGGACACGGTATGGTCCAACTGATGGATTTGTGATACTGCCGGACTCACAGCCCCGTCTCCACGTCTGCCACTTGGCCCACAACGGCCACCACCGCCACACGGCCCCTCCCGGTCTGCACAAAACCACCAGGCCCTCCAGTTCCACGTGGTCAGGCACTTCGCCCTGAGCCACTCGGTACCCCAGGCTGTCCTCACTGTCCTGTCGCCACAGTCCTCACTGCCCCTCTGACCATACGTTCTGCAATGGACAGGCGGGGACCAGACTGCCGCGGGCTTTCTCCACCCCTTCGTTGCACGTGCTCCGCTCGGGCTGCCCCCCGTGACCACGCCCCCTACCGGCCCGGCCACGCCCCCTCCACGGACCCGGCATCTGCCGGTGAACAGGCCTCCCCAACCCCGCTGGCCCACCCCTCCGCCCCACTCCAGCCCTTTCCTCAGCCGCCCCCTCGGCCGGTGCATCCCCAGTGGCCTCTGCTGTGCCTCCAAGGCCCCTCCCCCGCACGCCCCAGGGGTCCCTGCACCGTCCCCCCTCTGCTCCGCAGGCCTCACTGTGCCCTGCAGTCCTGGGGCCTCCGCATCACGACCCCTACCCCACTCCTTCCAAGTCCTGGATGCCGCTGGCTGGCTACCTGACACACGCACGTCCGGGGAGGCAGAGAGCCCGAGTCCAGCCTCCCCCGCTGGACACATGCAGTCCCTACCCCGGCCCACACCACTGGGCTTCAGGCACATAGGGGCAAGGACACCGAATCCCAGGTTTCTGCGCCCCGCCCCCTCTCCACCCCCCGCACCCCTCCCCTCCTCCCTCTTCCCCCTCCCCGCCCCCCACCCCTCCTCTCTGTCTCCACATAACCCCTCCCAGGGGCAGAGCGGGACCCTAGGCAGCCAGGCTTCCCTGACCCGCACTGCGCCAAAGGACACATCAGCACTGTGCCAAAGGACACATCACCGCAGCCGGGCTCTCTGTGTCCCCACCACCCCAAGGTGCTCAATAACATTTACCGAAAGAACGGTAGCGTTCTGGGGGCAAAGGCTAATGCCCACTTCATGGATTAAAGGTGTAGCAAGTCCCTTTTTCCCGTGCATCATCTTGGGAATCCACAGCTGTTATTAACAACAAAATTGTATCATGGATGTTGAGTCTACTTACACTCTATCTCCAGACAACACAATTTCAACGAGGCTAAAGGCCCAATGTCATTTACTATCATTTTCCTCATCTTCGCGATCTGTAAGAAGTTAGGGCCGGCATTCTTGTTATTCATACAAGTTACTCACTTACTATTTGAATGGATTTCTTGCTGGAAACCCTGGTGGTGCTCTCCTCCCCTTCCCCCAGATGTCATTTTTCTGGGTTTTGACAGAGACTAAACTTCAGACTGCTGAGCCAGAAAGGGGGGTGGGCTGAGGGTCTGAGGAGACCCGCAGGTCCGGCTTCCACCCACCTCTCACTTACCCTCGGAGCACAGAGAGTTCGTAAGCAGGGTGGGTGGGCAGAACCAGAAAACTCTCCACCCCGACCCACGTGAGACTGGGGAGAGAATGTGGGAGAGCCTGGGCCTCGAGCTGGTCACGGATGCAAATCAGGCGCTGCAGACAAAGATTCTGCTGGCATTGAAAAGCCACACATCAAGCACTGGCTATTCGCAGGTTCCCAAAGAGAACAGAGTTTATGTAAATCACTCACGAGAAAGTCACATTAACTTTGATCTAGATTTCTCATAAAGGCATTTTTTTAATCAGTTAAATATTCAAGACATTGAGCCAATGTTCACTCAAGAAATCAACTACACATCACCTTAGGAAAAAGGTCAAAATGAATCATGATTTATGAAGATTCCAGAGCCCAGAGCAGCCGCCCCAGCAGTGCCCGCTGCCCCTTACCAGCAGGCAGGTCCCCATCCACTCGGACACCAGCACGTCCACCTTCTCCGGCAGCAGCACGTCCTCCACCTTCTGCTGGAACACGGTGATGATGTCAGCGAAGCCGTTCTGCATGACCAGCTGCCCTGTGTGCTGGGCCATCTCACTGGCCTCCACCGCATACACCTGCACGTGACAGAAGCACCATCCGTGCGCGCCCCAGCCCCAGACGGTGGCCCGCTGTCCACTCCCCCAAGCCTGAGTCTCCTCGGCTGAGTCAGAGCCAGCAACAGAAGGCAGGCAGTGTGCTGGACGGCGGACGGCCACGCTGTGCCGCCTCCACCTGACGGAGCCCTGGGAGGACCTGCCTCTACTCGTAACTCCACTTTCTGCCTAAACGCAGACACAGGGCTGCAGGTGGACAGAAGCCTCTGCACCCACGTGGGCCGCCCACCCCAGAGCCCCAGGTTCCAACACACGCAGCGACACACTCGGTAACCGACACAGGAGATTCTTGGCACTCAAGTGAACAGTCAGACTTTTAGGGTAGCAGCGGCTAATTACAAATCCAGATTCTCAGGAGGTCCTGAACACTACCTCCTGGTCCTGGCAGGGTCTGGACTCAGACGGTCACTGCCCTGCGGTTGCACCTGTGAGCTAGGACCCTCATCCACCTGTGCTGGGGCCGTCGAGAGGCGGCACCTCTCCTTGGCCCGGACGGACTTTAACAGGAGGAGGACAGGAGCCCAGCAGGAGTCCCAGGGAGTGGTCCACCCTGTCCCTGCCAAGGGTCACTTTCGGCGGGGGAGGACACGGGACGGTGGTCTACACAAGCAGCCCAGCCCAGACACATGGACGCACGTGTCTCCTTGCGTGACTGAAATGTTTCACAAACACAGCCCACCAGCTGCAACTCACTGGGATATTTTCTATTCTGTCCTATTCACTCTGTGCTGTCTGCGACTCATGAAACCCACGTCGCAGCCTCTGGCGGGCTCAGCCTACAAGAACGCGCTGCCGGTTTCACCTACGAGGCGGGCACTTCACCAAGACCCGGCTTCGACGTTGTGAAAGAGCTGCTGCCTCCTACTCACTGCTCTAGGCTGAGCATAATGTGCACAGAAGAGGCTGATGATCCCAGTTCCACAGCCGACATCCAGAATCACTTTATCTTTCAGGGATTCTTTATTCTGCAGGATAACGTTGTGGTACTTAGTCGTTCGTGGCTGGTCTGCCAACATCTCCAAGTGAAGTTTCTAGGGGAAATACACATGAAGGGAGGGTCACTGCCTGCAGCTGGAGCTCTGGCTTAAGGCTGAGGGTTAGAGCCTGACCTACCCGCTCGGCCCCACCACCCCACACCTAAACTACGGTGACAGCGTTTAAAAAATAAAAGTCCAAAATATGCAGCAGACACAAGTCAGAGTAGACAGTGAAGGAATGACAGGGAAGCTTCCGGAACCCTCCCCGCTCAGCGCGCCACACCGCCCCAACAGCCAGGCGAGTGGAGGGGCAGGTGTGGACCACGGAGACGGCGGCGGAGGAACGGCCACGTTGCCGTCCAGACGCAACGTGGCCACGATCCGCCCAGAGCGAACGGCCAAGACTGGGGGAGGCTGCGGGAGGCGCACGCCCCCGCCGCGTCCTCTCCGAGCGGGGCCCTGCAAGGCCCTTCACGTGACCCCCCTCGCTGCCTGGGGACAGCAGGAGCCTCAGCACTGGAGGGAGGAGCGACCCCGCCGGCGCTCGGGCCTGAGCGCAGGTCCCCAGCTGCACTGCGGGCGGGACTTCCAACCTGAGGACACACTCCACGGGAATCAGCCGGTCCCCAGGGAGGCAGAGCAAGGCTCCTCCAGACAGTCTGGGGCCACAGAGGCTGCTGGAGCCCCGGCTGCAAGCGAGGCGGCACCCCCAGCACCCGTCCCCACGCCCCACGCCATGGAGACCCAGCTCAAGCGGCACCACGCACAGGGGGACAGGCGGCCCGGCCCCCCAAACCAGGTCAGCACCAACAGGAGGCCTGCACGGGCCTTGCGGGCCCCATGGCTCCTCGGAGACGGACAAAGGGAGGCCACCGGGGTGGACGGAGTTGACACCCAGCTGTCCTGCCTTGCGGGGCCACCTGACGCGGAGTCAGAAGCAGGATGTGGAGGCCCCAGGGGAGGAGGCCGGCATGGCTGCATTCGCCTCAGACACGATACACTTCAGAGCGAAGAGCATCAGGTCGTCACAAGACAGGGATCACTTCAGCAAGAGGACATAATAATTCTAAATATTCTTGTACCTAATAACAGAGCTTTGAAGTACACAAAGCAAAAGCCAGTAAAACTGCAACAAGAAACAGACAAATTCCCAGTTATAGTCAGAGCCTTCGACACCCTTCTCTCAGCAACTGACAGAAGCAGAAAATCAGAAAAGACAGAGACGTGAACAACACTTTCAGCCAACTTAATCCAACTGAGAGAACACTTCACCCAGCCATTTACAATAATACACAAAAATATCTAGGAACAGATTTACCTAGAAAGGTACACAACCCTGTATGATCAAAACCTTAAAACTCCGACACATCACACAAGGCTTAAGAAATGAGAAAAGTCATCACAGAGATGTCACTTCTCTGTAAATTAATGCACGTTTTCCACGTAACACATTAGAATGCCAGACAACTGGATGGCGTGGAGTTAGGAGCACAACAAAACGATGATAAAACTAGTTTCGTTGCAGCAAAAATAGAAATGAGACTTTTCTGATAAACAAGAACAAGAAGCAACAATGAACAGGCTGGGGAAACAGCATAAACAGGCCTGAAAGAGTTAAGGCATCTTGGTTATTCTTTAGCGTTACTACTAACAAACACTGGTAGCTAGACTTGTCCTTCACAAAGCTAAACAAAGTTAATTACTCTGATTCCACATGAATCGTACCCTGCACCTGGCATTTACTCGATGCATTCACTTGTAGCAAATCACCCCTTGTAGCTGTTTACATTTCAGAAAGAAGGTCGCAGGCTGATAACCCAGAGATGAATGGACCCAATTACCAGGCTGCCTGACGCCAGCAGTGACTGTTTTAAAATACTGCAAGAAGAAGAAGAATGCAAGACCTTCACCACTTTGATCCTATCACTTATCCTGGACTGTGAGTTCCACCTACCAGACCCCCTGTAATTCCCCAGAACAGGGGGGCACAGTTCTTGAGGCGCTAGCCTGCTGGGTCTTCCCTTTGCCTGGCAAAGAAAATACAAAGCCTCTCTATTTCTTATCCTCCAAATCTCTGTCTCTGTATTTCTATTCGGCATCGGTGCACAGGGAGCCAAAATTTGCTGGCAACAGTTTCAAAAAAATAAACAGACGAGGCCATGAAAATGCTAAAAATTAGGAGAACTGCTAGAGGCCTAGCTCTTCCAATCATTGAAAAGCATCTGGACCTGCAGAAGAAATAACCAGATAAATGACACAGAACAGAGATTCCCAAAACAGACCCTAACAATTTGACATATGATAAATGAGCGTTTCACATTATGCGGAAAAGGAAGATTAACCAAAAGCTGGAACAGCTGTATATTTGTGGGGAAATTAAGTCGAATTTTACCTTATTCTTTACAAGTAAATTCCGGATTGATTTAAATATTTCATTGTTAAAAAAATGCAATCACAAAAGTTCTAAAAGAAAGCATGGATATTTATAATCTCGGAGTGAAGGCCTTGAAAATAGGACACAAACGCAGAAGCTACAAAGAAAAGAAGGACAAATTAGACCATATAAAGATAAAAAGTTCCATGGGGGAAAAACAGCAGCAAATGGTCAGTGTGATAGATATAAATACAACCTAAACTGCCTATTTAACACATAAATTGACAGAAATCAAACAAAAAATGGGCAAATTATATGAAAGTTTATCAAAAAATAAGAAATACAAAAGGCCAATAAGATATGAAAGAAGATCAATCTCACTTTAAAAAATGGAAATCAAAACCGAGATACATATTTCACCTTTAAGACTGGAAATCTTTTTTCACTCTGAAGACTTGTGGTGGTGAAATACACCTTCTATGCTGTTGATATCTTTCTGGCGGTCAACTTGGCAAGATCCACCCAAGTAAGAAACACATACATACACCCTTCAAATTTACCCAGTGGAAATTCCAGCAAAGGTTTAGCAGGATTTATGTAGGAGGACATCCATTACAGCATTGCTTGCTGTGATGAAAACTAAATATGATCCTTTTCAAATCAACACAATACTCCGCAGCTGTTGTAAAGAACAGACCTTCAAAACAGTACCGCTGCGTGAGAAGAGCAAGGTGAAAAACAGTGTGTGTGAAACTATTCCTCTTCTATAAATTTAAAAGAATAAAACAGATGCAGCTTAGATTTGGAAGAAGCATAAGCACTGTTGCTGAAAGAAATCTCAAGGAGCAGAGTGAGGAGACAGACTTCAGATTATCACTATGTCTTTCTTAGTAGATGGAAACCTCTAAATATGTACACACATCAGTGGTTTTTCATTTCCTTTAACATTTTTAATTGTCAAATATGACATACCTACAAAAAAGTACACTAAAAAGTACTTCAGAGTTTACTTAACATAGTTACATTCCAAACACTCTTGTACCCACACCAGAACCCTGCCAGTACCCCTGAGCATCTCACCCGGCCTTGCCAAACATAGAACACCCCCTTACCAGTAACCACCATCCAGATTCTCAGGGGAATCAGGTCCCTGATCTCGAGAGCTCCACAACTTATATGTACATTCATAGGCAACACCTTTTAACACTGCCTTATAACTTATATAACTGAATCAAACATAAGGTATTCTTTGATGTCTTCCTTCTTTCACTCAACATTGTATTTGCAACGTTCATCATGCATTTAGTTTTATTTAGTTTAAAATATAAACAGGGTTGTCTGGACCACAGGACTTTGGGTCTTTATTCACATTGGAAAAAAACAAACTAATAAGCTAGTTATTTATAGGTATTACTGTTGATTTATATAATTTTTTTGTATTTCATTTTTAATGTAAAAGTTATTACTTTTTTTTTTAAATACTGAGAAAGGTTCATAACTCCACTGCTCAAACAATATCTCTAAACCAGTGGTCTGCACATTACAGCCCGTGGGCCAGTCCAGCCCTCCACCTGCTTTTATATGGCCTACAAGCTAAGAATGGCTTTTACATTTTTAAACGGTTTTTAAAAATCAAAAGAAGAATATGACACATGAAAATCATATGGAAGTCAAATTTCAGTGTCTATGGATAAAGTTTTATTGGAACGCAGCCCTGCTCACTTGAAATTTTGTACAGCTGCCTCAGCATGTGGATGGCAGGGCTGTGCAGCTAAGGTGAAGAAAACATCTGTGGGCCCTGCTCTGAATGATGCGTAGAAGCCCAGAAATTATTTTTAAACTTAGAACCTAAAACTAGCGAGAAGCTAGCGCCAGCTGACTGGGCGGGCAAGGGAGGCAGTACCAGGGTCCCGTAGCTGCCGAAGTACTCCTCGTCCTGCCACGAGTCCTCGGGGCCCCAGTCCTCCAGGTGCTTCCCCAGGTGGTTCGCAGGGATGTACCCGCAGCAGCCGGCACGCTCACCCCACCACCAGTCGGCGGTGGTTTGTCTCAGGATGAGAATTTTTTCTCCTCTCGAAAAGCTGAGCTATAAAAACATACAGAGAAATGAAAATTAAAGAAAAACCTGCAGTTCGTATTTCCGTGATAAATCCCCCATCACTGGGGCCCAAATCACAGCAATTTCGAAAAGGAGTCAATGGGTAAATGCATCAACTGACAAGATATGAAAATGATACCAGGATTTTAAGATTTTTGTGGAATATCTACACAAAACAAAAGCACACCTTAATTGATATTTTTTTTAAAAAAAAGATTAAACATTTTCAAACAGTGTAAATTTCTTAGAACAAAATTTCTAACAGCCTCTTCACCGTAACTCAGCTAGGTGGTAGCTGATTCGCTTACTGGAGGCTTATGCTAAGAAATTCCTATTACAAAGTAAACAATGCTACATTCAAGTAGATATTTTTATTTACACCCAATTTTTCATTAATTGGAATAGGTTCTAAGTAAGGGTTTCAAAGCAGAAACTGAAGCAGGTACCTCCACCCCCCGTTCCTCACCCGGGAATCCTTCACATCAGGCTTGGGACCCGAATTTGTTAGGCTGGGAGGGTCACCCACAGGTCTCCTGTGGCAGTGAAGTATCTGAATACTTCTTTATTTAAATCTGCTATGACTTCTGCAAATTTTACATCTAATCCTGTCCCTGAACATGCTGAATCCACAAAGCATAACCCACATGGCTACCTGCGTCTCATCAGTGGCAGAATAGTCTGCGATGGCCACGAACTCCTCGGGGTGCACAGTACCCTGGAGGTTCCCCTCCTCGCCCTGCACGACGGGGTCCTCTCCCTCCTGTTCAAAGCAAGGGAGAAAGGGAGGTGACTGTGGGGCTGCCCTTCCTCTCCTCCCTTCTCTCTGCCTGTCTCTCCATCTGTCTCACTCCACCTGTCTCTGCCTCCCCGTCTGTCTCCATCTCTGTTTCTGTCTCTCTCTCCGCCTCTGTCCTCTCCATCTGTCTCTGTCTCCGTCTGTTTGTCTCTGTCCCTCTCTGTCTGTCTGTCTCTGCTGTCTCTGACTCTCTGTCTCCATCTCCATCTCCGTCTCTGTCTCTGTCCCTCTCCATCTCTGTCTCCGTCTCTGTCTCTGTCTCTGCCTCTCTGTATCTCTGTCTCTGCCTCTGTTTCTGCCTCTTTCTGCGCCTCTGTCCCTCTCCGTCTCTGTCTCTGTCTGTCTCTGCCTCTCTCTCTGTCTCCGTCTCCTCCATCTCTGTCCCTCTCCATCTCTGTTTCTGTCTCTCTCCACCTCTGCCTCTCTGTCTCTGTCTGTCTCTCTTGGCTCCAGGTTATTAGGATGGTTTCAAATCAAGATTCACGTGACCACGTTTTCATCCTACAAACACTTGGGGTCGTCTCCACCAGCAGAATGAAAGGATCTCACCCTTCCTCCACCTTGACTTTAGTCTCTAGTACAAAATGACTCGCATCCTTAAGTGAACGTCAGAGAAAGAACAGGAGGCACCGTGAGTGACCACTTAGTGACTGACCCCATCAGCAGCAACGCTCTGAAGGTGGTGACCGGCCCAGGAGAAAGCAGCCCTGTCTGGGTGTCAGACCCGAGGGCAGAGCTGGGCGGCCGTGCTGAGGGCCGACAGGGGGCAGGGCGCAGCCCTCGGGGCGCACTGCTGCTCAGGACTGGAGAGCGCGCCCTGGGTCTCCGCTGCACGCGGCCAGCCTCCCTTTGTGTCCAAACGGGTCTCCCTGGAGGCCACCCCAGAGGCGGCAGGGCCCCAGCTCGCGATCCAGTTCACTGCAGCAACCCCGCCCGGACATACGTTTAAACAGATTTTCCTAAACGTAACCATCATTCATGTTCATTTTAGAAAATGTGTGGAAGAACAAGAGCACAAAGAGGAAAATTAAAACTAAGTGTGAGCTTTGCTCATTGGTCAGAGATCAATGACGGTAACATGCAACCATTACAGCGCTTCAGGCTTTCTTCACGTGCACACGCAATACCTCCTTATATGGTGTTTACCGGGATCATAAAATTCTGCCTCATGACATATTTTGCACTTATTAAATTCTGAACATTTTTCCCCATCATTAAATACACTTCTAAGCACATTTTCAGTATCTCATAGTATTCCATTCCATGAATTATTGTAACTTATTTATCAAATCTCCTATAAACATTTAAACTGTTTTCAGTTTTGACGAGTATAAAGTATGTTAAGGTGAACTTTAATATGAATCGGTCTGTCCCTGATAGTTTTCTCAGGACAAATTCCTGAATATGACACTGAGGGTCAAGGTCTTTTACGGCTTTGACAGCACCACCTGATGCCTTCCATGGGGCGGCCGCTCGAGCTCCTGCACGCGAGGACATAGCCTCGTGAGTTCCCCGCGCCTGATCAACAGAGGATGTTCATCACTGCAGCCTCTGCCAGTCCGAAGGCAAGAAATTACCTCTTGGTTACCTCCATTCGCCTTCCTTTGATTACTAGTGATCGGGCATGATCCTACCTATGCGCTGGTCGTCTTTCTGATTTTAATAATCACCTGTGTGTATCCTTCGCACATTTCCCTATCACAGCAACGCGCCTCGTTTCTGCTCACCCTCGTCCTGTGCGGCTCCACCCACGCTGTCGGTCACCGGCCCCCCACACCCCCGACCCTCATGGTTGCCTGGTGTACATGGAGAGGGAGGAGGGTCCCCACACCTCCCGTGCTCGTGTCACACGTGCGTGCACACAACTTATTTTTTCTTTTGACATCGCTTTTTTTTTTTGCGGTACGCGGGCCTCTCACCGCTGTGGCCCCTCCCGTTGCGGAGCACAGGCTCCGGACACCCAGGTCCAGCGGCCATGGCTCACGGGCCCAGCCGCTCCGCGGCACGTGGGATCTTCCCGGACCGGGGCACGAACCCGTGTCCCCTGCATCGGCAGGCGGACTCTCAGCCACTGCGCCACCAGGGAAGCCCTGACATGGCTTTTTGTAAAAGATACCAGACAGTTTAAAAAATTTTTTCTTTTTCACTCACACAGTAACTTGTGGCAAACTCCCCACCTGCAGAACTCTACATAACATACGTATATATGTTACGTACGTACACATGTACATACATAACATATGGCTACATAACATTCCGCAGCGGGGATTCTGCCTGAGCCTTCAGTCATCTTCGACTGATGGACTTGCTCTGGATGTCCAGTCTTCTACCGCCACAACGTCTGTGCACATTTATCCTGACATGATGACATTTTATCTCTATGAGATAGAGTGACAGGGCTGAAACATAAACAGTTTTCACTCAAACATTTGTCAGATTCTTTCCATAAAGGATGTGGCACTTCACACTTCAGCAGCAGTGCACGGAGTAACCGTCTTTAATTTTTGCCAGAGGAATAGGTGTAAAGACTCCAGAAAAGGTAAACATGTGGGGAAACACTATTACTTATACTTTATAAAAAAGACTTTTGATAGTATAGAGAAACAATAATAATTTATTGTGGGTTTATAGCATATATAGAAGTAAAATATGTTACAACAACAGCACAAAAATAGCGGCTGGTAAATGGAACTAATTTAGAGGATTCTTGTGAAGTGGTCAAAAAAAAAAGACTAGAATAGGTTAAGGATGCATATCGTAATTTCTTGGGTAACCATCAGAATAATATTGGGGTGGCCAAGAAGCTTATTCAGGTTTTTCCATAACATCTTCAGAAAAACGCAAGCAAACTTTCTGGCCAGCCCAAAAAGGTACAGCTAAAAAGTCAACAGAGGAGATAACATGGAATTACAGAGAATGTTTTATTAATCTAAACGAAGGCAAGAATGGAGAAAGGTAAAAAGGAAGAATTGTGACAAACAGAAAACAAACAGCAAGATGTTAGGCTCATGTTAGACTTATGTTACATGTTAATACTCCAATTGAATACTCCAATTAAACGGCAAATATTATCCGACAGGAAAATAAAAGACATAACTATAAGCTCTTTACAAGAGGAACACTTTAAATATATGGAGTTAGTTTGGCTGAAAATATAGGTATATATGTGTCTGTGTGCCACACAAACACTAAGACAAAGTAGATGCAAGGCAAGAAGTATTAACAGGTAAAAAGAGACTTCATAAAAATAAAAGGGTCAACTAATCTAGAAAACAAAAACTAACCTAAACATATGCACCAAATAACAGAGATTCAAAATATATGAAGCAAAAAGAGATAGATCCAAAAGGAAATAACAAAAAAAACAGACAAATCCACAGTCACTGTGGAGATTTTTGAAATTCATCTCTCAGTAATTGATAGAACAAATGGACAAAACATCAAACAGGATATAGATTTGAGCAATACTAATAACCCATTTGACAGTGAAGACATTGAACACTACACCCAACAACTGCAGAACAACTTAGTCTCTGCAAGTGCACATGGAACATCCACTAAATAACCCTTACGATGAGACCATAAAGCAGGCCTGAATAAATTTCCAAAGATTGAAATGTTATATTTTCTGACCAAACATAATCAAACCAAAATTAACTAACAAAAATATAAAATTTCCCACGTTTGGAAATTAAGCAACACACTTCTGAATAGCCCGGAAAATTTCTAATTTCCATTGTGATATATTAGAAAGTATTTTAAGTGAACAATAATGAAAATACAATGCATTTAAATGTGTGAGGTGCAGCTAAAGCAGTGAATAGAGGAAAAGTTACAGCTTTAAAGAGATTTTATATATATATATATATATATACATAGATACACACACACACACACACACACAAATATATATGAAAAGAAAGGTTTAAAATCAGTGATCCAAGCTTCCATCTCAGGATGCTATGAAAAGAGAAAATTAAACCCAAATAGAATAGAATAAAGGATATAAAAGCAGAAATCAATGAAATAGAACACAGATGGACAAAGAGAAAATTAACAAAGGTTTCTTTGAAACATAAAATCGATAAAATCCTAAAAAGATAAAACGCAAACTGTAACTATCAGGCATCTCTTCTGTGATGAAGAATGTTATTACCAGGATGAACACAAATATTATTGAAATACTACCATGACTCATAAATAACCAGGAAAACTAAAATCACAAGATACCATTTCTAACCCACAGACTGACCAAAATTAAAAAGCCTGATGTTCTCAAGTGTTAGCAAGCACTTTGGGCTCCTGGCAGACCTGTGAACTGGTAAACCACCTGGGAGAACAATTGCTCATTATCTAGTAAAACTGAAAATATGCAATCCCTTCCATCCTACAATGCCATTATTGGGTAAATACCCTGGAGCACATGTGCACAAAGAGACACACTGAAGGATGTTCACTGCAGCACTGTTTGAAATAGAGAAAAACTGGAAGCAATGTAAGTGTCCAACAAAACGGAAAGAGATAAAATGTGGTATATACCTAACGTACAACAGTAAGACTGAATAGACCTACATACCTGCCTGTGAATGTGATACATTTCATATAAGGAACACACTACAGGGACCATCCTTCAGGACTAAACCAGCTGTACCCATACATTAAAGACAAATCCCTCAAAAGTAACGTAGGTGGAAAAGGCAGGCTGCAGAGCACACACAGACTATGACACCACTTAGGTAAATTCTAAAAAGCACACAAAAACAATATCATATGCTGCTCAAAGATGCCTACTTAAGGTATAAAAGTATAAAAGATGGTGCAGAAGCACAAATATCAATTCATAATTCACAGTAGTGTTTGCACTTGAGACAGAGGAAGAAGAATGGGACTGGGGTTGGGGAACAAACTTTATTTATGTTTTTTTATTCATATATATACTTATATTCTGAAGTAAATATAACAAAATGTTAGCAAGTTTCCACTTCTGTGTAATATGTATTGATACTTGATGTCTGCAATGTTATTCTGTAAATGTTCCAGTAGTTTTTAAATTTCTCAAAAGAAAATTAAGAGATCCATGAAATTAAAACTTTTATGATTAATTTTAATCATATTTTAAGAATCATATTTTCATAATTTTAAGAAACAGATTAATGAAATGATCCAACTATAAATAAAATTTCTATATATAAAAACCCAAATGAATTTAGAACAATAATTAGAATGTAAAGAGAAAAAAAATGTTAAAATTGACATCACAGACATGAAAATGTTTTTTAAAAAACATTATTTATTAGAGTATTCTGGTTCTTAATTTTACATAATTGACATTCCTTTAAATTTAAGGTGACTTTTTTTTTTTTTTACTGTTAACTTGAATGAAATTATATGTGGTCCCAGGCAGATAAACAGTATGAATATATAAATCTTTTCTAATGTCCAACCTGTCTCTAACATATTATGTCTGGGATGTTTTTAAACAACTAAAAAAAAAAATGTGCTTTCTTCACCAGCTCAAGTGCCAAAAATGGAACCCTAGATTCCTGGGAAGTGTTTACAGTGCCCATTTCAGAATGTCATGTGTGACCTTTACACACTGTGCATTTCCTTTATTTAAGCATCCCCTGGCCACCCTCTAAGGTCCAAGGAAAATGCCATCACGCTGGGCTGAGCTCCACTCTCTGTGATGGTCCTGGTCTTTAAATACAAGTTCTCACACAGCAGAACCGAAATTACCTGCAACTCACTTCTGGGGCAGTCACCTGGTGTTGCCATAATTCCTTTGGGATCTGCACATAGCTGCTGCTTTAATGTTTCATTTTCCCCTCCATTTCTATTTTAAAAAGAGAATGAGAAAATGCTTGTTATGTTGCATAATAATTAAGTCCACATAACTTCTAAAGTCCACGAAAAAGGTCCTCTACCAAATGGAAATAAATGTAAATGAACAGAAATGAAATTTATAAACACAATTCTTACAAAATCAACTGAAAGCATTTAAAATTTATGAACTCCAAACAGTGTATATTTTCATCACTAGCCTGCAAGGTGTTAACTGTTCATTGGCCAAAGACTGTTAGTTTCTGTTAGATCACTGGGTTGAATTAAAACAATAAATTGATGTCAATTCCTTCCTTGGGGCCCTGACTACTTTAACTCCAATTAGGATTTCCTATCTGGGGCTTTAAAGTGTTTCCACTAACAGGAACCAAGGTCTGCATCTCCCAGAGGCTTTTCTTCTCATTCTCAATCTTATTTTTCCAGTGACAGTGTAACCCATACTACGCTCTGAGATGGATGTGTGTTTTTTTCAATTATACAGCAATTCTTTGTTTAAAATGAGGGCTTCACTTTATCAATCAAGACCCAATACTTCTTTGGGTGACGTTTGTAATTATAAATACTAATACACATGCATTGCATTTTCGCTGGAAACACTGCATAGGGGCCAGAATGGGGCTGGGCCGGTGGGAGGGCGGGGCCGGGTTGACGGATGGGGCCAGGGTGGGCGGGGCGGGATAATAGGGCGGGGCCTGGATGGGGCGGAGCTCGGTTGAGGGTCGGGGCAGGGTTGGGGGAGAGGGCCAAGGATCCTGAAGGGCAGGTGGCCAACGGGGTGGGGAGAGAAACAAGGGAAGAGAGGATGAAGGGAGGGGCAGGGCGTGACGCGTGAGCAGAATGGGTAGTGAGGGAAGGGAATGTGACCTGCTCTCTGAGAGGGTGGGAGATTGGCCCGGAAGCCAAAGGCCGACGGGATGTGGGCGTGGCACTGGGGCGGGGCTAGGGGAAGGGCGGGGCACTGTGGGCGTGGTTGGGGAGATCGCGGGGCTGCGGGGCGATGGGTGTGGCGCCGTAGGCGGGCTCGGCAGGAGGGCGTGGCCCTGGCGGGGGCGGGGCCCCAAGCTCGAGGTCAGCACAGAGGCGGGAAGGCGCGGAGAAATCTCGATAGGGGGCGGCGGCCTCGGACCGCCCGCTGACGCACACTTCGGGCGAGGACCCCCTCACCTGGCGTGTCCTGCCCTACGCGCGGTCCAGCCGCCCGAGCTGCCCACGGGAAACCTACCTCAGCCGCGCTTCTCCGCTGAGGTTGGCGTCCACACCTCCGACACGGAGGGGCAGCCAGCACCCACCAAGAACCCGAGCCACCGCCCTCAGCCCGCGCAGGCGCAATGTACGCAGGCTGCCCGAGTAGAAAGCCCCGCCCTGGAACCGGCTTCGCGCGCATGCGCCGCCGTACACGCCCCGCTGTCCGGAGAGGGGAGCCAACGCCCTGGACTGCGCAGGCGCAGTGCGCTCGGGGGCATCCCGGCGAAGACTCGGTCCTGGACCGACCGCCCAGCGCAGGCGCGCCTCGCGGATCCCGCCTTCGGCCGTTGCGCGAGCCCGGGCGCTGCGCTCCAAGCGTGCGGGCTCGGGCTCGCGTCCCCGGGCGCTGGGGGCAGCCTGGGGAGGGGGCGGGGTGGCGGCGCAGGCCACGGGGAGCGGGAGCCATCCTGGTCTGGGGGTCAGAAACCCGCTATGAATGACAGAAGCGGCTGATTTCCGGAGCAGGACCCGCCTTCTTGTGCTTTTCTTGTAATAATTCAGTTAACCTTCCCAATCACACTGTGAAGTGTGAACCTTGTGTCGTTCTTTCCAGTTGACAAATGGAAGCAGAGTGATTTTTTATTTATAAACTTCCGAGAGGAAGTTTGGGATTTAAAGAAAAACAATAACGTTATTGGCCACTGCTATGTGGTGGTCTAATGGGGGTGGGGCAGGTGGTGGCTGGAGCCGGAAAGGTAGGAGAAGGTGGTCAAACTCCTAGAGAAAGTAGGGTGGCGGGTGCCAGGGCCTGGGAGAGCGGAAAATAGGGAGACGATGTGAATGGGTGTAGGGTTTCAGTTTCACAGGATGATGAGAATTAACGGGGATGAATGCTGGCGATCGTTGCACAGCAATGTGAGCTATTTAATATCACTGAACTGTACACTTATAAATGGTTAAGATAAGTTTTATGTGTATCTTACCATAATAAAAAAAAGAGCAGGAACACAAATTACCAATATACGAAATGAAAAAGGAATTCAGTACAGATGCTGTAGATTTTGTAAATTTTGTAATTTTATGAAACTTTGTCCAAAAATTTTAACAAATTAGATAAATTAGACAAATTCCTTGAAGAACAACTTACCAAAACTAAACGAGAATATTTAGGAAATCTACATAGTTATAGATTTTCGAAAGGAATGAATTTCATAATTAAAAATCTTCTTACAAAGAATACTCCAGGGGCTTCCCTGGTGGCGCAGTGGTTAAGAGTCCGCCTGCCGATGCAGGGGACACGGGTTCGTGCCCCGGTCCGGGAAGATCCCACGTGCCGGGGAACGGCTGGGCCCGTGAGCCATGGCCGCTGAGCCTGCGCGTCCGAAGCCTGTGCTCCACAGCGGGAGAGGCCACAACAGTGTGAGGCCCGCGTACCGCAAAAAAAAAAAAAAAAAAAAAAAGACCGAAAAACATTTTTTTAAAGAATAGGCAAACCATAGACTGGGAGAAAGTATTTGCAAAACATCTACCTATCAAAAGGTTCCTATATGAAATATATGACTCCTAAAACCGAAAAACTAAATTAATAAACAAATAAATAGAAATGGGCAAATGACTTAACAGACACTTCATGAAAGAAGATATACAAACAGTCAATAAGTACATGAAAAAAGTTCCTCAATATTGTTAGTTGTTGGGAAAATGAAAATCAAAACTCCAATGAGATACTTTTACACAGACTGGCTAAAATTCAAAAGACAGACACCCAAATGTTGGGACGGCTGTGGAGCAAACATAATTATCATACATTGCTGTGGGAGTATAAAATACAAGAGACACTACGGGAAAATGTTTGGCCTTTTCTTGTAAAGTTATACATATTATATAAGTTGGCTCTGGCTGCCACAATAAAATACCACAGACTGGGCGACTTAAACATCAGACATTTATTTTGTCTCAGTCTGGACGTCCATGATCAAGGTACCAGCAAATCCGGTTCCCATGAGTGCGCTCCCCTGGCTTGTGGACAGCCGCCTTCGCGTTCTGTCCCCACAGAGCTCAGAGAGACAGGCTCTGTGTCTCCCCCTCTTCTCATAAGGACACCAGCCCTATCGAATTAGGGCCACGCCCTTCTATCTTCATTTAACCTAAACGGCCCCCTAAAGGCCACCTCCAAGTGCAATCACACTGGGGTTGGAACTTCAACATATGAATACTGGGGGGTCACACTGATCTACTCTACAGCCCAGAAAAAGAACTCCAAGGCATTCTCCAAAAGAAATGCAAGTGCCTTGCCCAAGAATGTTTATAACAAAAAAGTTGGTACCATTCTAAATGTTATTTAACAGGAGAATGGATACACAAACTGTGGTGTATTCCCACAATGAACACCGCTCACGAGATTTACTTTCACGTCGGTGAAATCACGACCAGCTTGAACTAAAAGGGACTGAGATAATTCAAAATGAAACCAGGCTGCCGGGGACCCCGACATTCTAGGCTGAGGAGTCAGAAAAGGAAGGATGGGAGGCCGTGTGCCCTCCCAGGGAGCAGCGGGGGACTTGGACTGGGGAGCCTCCTGTAAGGAGCAGAACAGGCTCTAATCCAAACACACTTACTCCCGGGCCGGGGACCCTGGGAACTTGGCGCTGCTGATTTCGCGGCCGCAGCGAGCGGGCAAGGACAAGTGCCTTGTGCTCCACGCTGCGTGAGTGGGAGTGTCTCTCATGTCTACCCTCCTGTCTCACCAGCATGTTCTGGGGGTGTGTGCAGGAAATTCAGACGACTTGTCTTCCTAGCTCACAAGTCTCTGCAACAAGAAGAGGTGCTGCTCAGGAGGGCCAGTGGCTACTAGACCTGACTGAAATCATGAGATGCTGAGCTTCAAGCCTGATGCCACAGTGGGATAAGATTTGGTGGGCGGCGGGGGCGGGGAGGGGGGGTCTGGGTACAGGGTGAGCAAACGCTTTATGTTTAAGGAATGTAAATACTTTGTGGCTAGAATGTTAAGTGTGGGAGATTGCAAATGCTGTCCTGAAAAATAAAACAGCCAGTTATTTTACCAGCAAAATGGATTTATTCGGGAATAGCAGAGGAATCGCAATTCAGGACATGCAGGCTATGGCAAACTGTAGGCAAGTCTAGAGAACATAGGAGAGGAAGGCCATTTCGCAGAGAAAAGGGGGAATTGGGAGGGGCTTCTTTGCAGGCAAGTCCACTGGAGGGAAGGGAGGCTTCAGGGTGACGGCTTCTCATTGGCTGGGCTACTGCTGGGCAGGAAGAAAACCCTCCTTCTCCTGCTGGGTGTAAAGTTGGCTTCCTCCGGCCCAGGAATGTGAACCGAGCTGGGAGGGAAGGTACGGGGCGGGGGGATCTCCCCATTCAGGGCATCCTGACTCCATTTTAGATGAGGTTTCTCTTTCATTTTGGCCCCCAAATGGCCACAGTACTCTGCAGTTTTTCCCAGCAAGAAGTGGACCCGTTGAATCCTGGCTGGCCTTGCAATGCACCCACAGAAGTCGCAGAAGTGACCATGTGCAATTTCCGAGTTTAGGATTCAAGAGGCCAGTCAGTTTCCATCTCACTCTTGAAACCCATACCACCAGGTGAAAAGGCATAGGTGAGCCTGCTGGATGAGCAGAGATAGAGGGCTAAATCACACAGGCACATAAACACACACACACACACACACACACGCATATGCATGCACATGCACACAAACACAAACACAGAAACACACAGGCACATGCACACCACACACACATACACACCTGACAATCAGTCACCTCCAGAACCAAAGCCACCTGGCTGACCAGCAGTAACTACAGACAGGAGTGAGTCCAAATGACACCAGCATAAGACCTGCCGAGCTGAACAAATCCCAAATAACCAATGCACAGAATCGTGAGCTAAATAAATGATTGTTGTTTGAAAACACTAAATTTTGGGACAGTTTGGTATGCAGCAAAAGCTAATTGATACATCAAGGAATGCTAATTAAAACCATAATGAGTTGTCACCACACGCCCATCAGAATGGTTGAAAGACTAAAAAAACTGAAGTGTTGGTGAGTACCTTGACCGATTAGAGTTACACGTTGCTGGGGGAGGGAGGATATAAGCCGGTATAATTATGTTAGAAACTATTTGGGAGTTTCTGGTAAAGTTAGACATATGCCTGTCCTGTGATTCAACAATTCCACTCATAGGTATGTGCCCCCTCCCCCCAAAATTGCATACGCGCCTCGACAGATAAGTGCAAGAAGGGTGCACAGTGGAGGGATGGCGTGAAGGAATCTTCTGGGGTCCTGGAGTGGGTCCGTATCTTTAAAAGGGTGCAAATGGGTGTTGTATACTATGTAAGCCACACAATGTAAAGTACACCTCAATTGAAATTAATCTCTCAAGGTCTTTAAAAAGATGTGTGCCCTCCACTGTGTGTAAGTAATTTGTGGATGGAGGGTGAACTGTGGGGGTTTTAAGGGCTGTAAAGTCTTTGACACTCTTCCCATCACATTCCTCTCCCTGAATCTGGGTGGGCTTTAATCAATAGAACAGGAGAACAGCTGTGACCTCTGAGGCCAGCTCACAAGCGGCCATGTAGCATCCTCTAGTTCTGCTGGAATGCTTGCTCTTGGGACCCAAGCCGCTCAGGGACCCACACAGATGCCAGATGTGCAACTGTGGAGGGGGCCAGGGGACCCACTGCCATCATTTGAGCCATTCCACTGTTCCAGGCTTCCCAGCTGTGGTCCCGGACATTGTGGAGCTGGAGCAAGCTGTTCCCCTGCACTCTGACCGACGTGCACACTGAGAATGAGGAAGAGGTTGAGGCTTTTACGCTGTTTGCTGGTGTTTCTTGTGTGGTGGTGGGAACTGGGGTGGAGTTTGGTGCTTCGATGTTGCTGCTGCCAAAGCAGGAGCCTAAAGCCTACAGCACTAGCTTGCAATCAGGCAGGAGCTGGGGGGCCTGCGCACCGGGGGTGGAGGCGTGGTCGACCACGGCAGGGGCAGCAAGACGATGCTCCTGGAGGCAGGAGGAAAGACCCCTGTTATTCAGCCCAGGAAGCCGGGCACCAAGGTGGCCTGCGTGCAAGTCGAGGTGATGCCAGGACTGGTGAAGCGGCTTCCAGACAGCGTCAGAGTGTCAGCGGTGGTCTTGCAGCTACACATCTAAGCTACGGTCAGGGAGAGAGGAACTAAAGAAGGATTATCCAATTTGCAAACAGAACTTAAAAGAGCTATAAAGGAGCCACGATTGGCTCAAAAATGAAACTATTTTTCACCCCCACCCTCTCCCCAGGCCCCCACCTCCAGTCTCTCCCAGCAGAAGATTCTCAGACAAAGAGTGAGCTCAGGGCAAAGGCTGAATCCGAGACACTGTTGGGGAAGTGTGGTCTCAGAATAAAAGCAAGAAGAGGTGGGATTGGAAAACCCTCTAAGACTCGGAAACAATTTAATTGCTGCCTCATAGACCCGTTCA